TATTGAATAGTCCATCTTCCATTTTATGTGTTAGGGTTATACTGTAAAAAAAACCATTTCTCTTCTTTCATTTGAATACCAATATTGGTGATAATTATCTGTGGGTTCTATACTCATGATTGAAATACAAATATTTAATGCTTGAACATCTCATACAAATATTTATCAAAGGTTATTGATAAATGCTTTTTATTCCATTGTTTGTCTAAATGTTACAACATATCTGTGGACATATGGACACAGGACAAAATTAAATTCTGTACTTTTCTTACTGAATGCAATGCTGAATAAATAAATATGTGGTCACAAATTTGCAAATGTTGCAGTGATCTAAATTATATGCTGTAGTTTTCCCACTTTCTCCTATTACTTTTTTAGATTTGCATCTTCTTTTTATAATGGCACTTTCCCATTTCTTTTCCGCATAAAATGTACCCATTAATCCTGTCTCCAGGCTACAGATGCTCCCCTGTCTCATGAAAGGGGATTATTACCAGGTAATATTTGAACATGTACAGTCTGTGAGAACAGTGCACACACAGAAGCAGTAGACTTGCTAACAAAGCCTCAGGCTATCACTCAGAGTGTGCTTGTTCACCTTTCAAATTTGATAGCAATATCAGCAAACATACCTTCCACAGAGTTTGACAATGCCATAAGTAGCTGAAAATCTTGGTGGGACATGTACTTATTGTCCTGAGATGTCAACGATCTCAGAAAGGAGGGCGTAGAGAGATAGAAAGAGAAAAAAAGAGAAGACAGAGGTTGTAATTAGTCTTATAATGAAACACTAACTCTCAAAGCAGCATCTTCTGCAAATTGCATGTGTACCTGAACGTGTAGCAAGTAATCATCATTCTGGTCTGGGGATTTGTCTCTGGTCTGTTTGTGCTTTCTGCATTAAACTCAGCTGCCACTCCACATCAGACACTTCTGTTGCTCTGCTCTCCTCTGCAGTTTTAAAAGGAACACAGCCCACAGAGTTCAGTTGCTCATGCATGACTAAGACCAGTTATGCAATTAAACAACAGCCATTGATTTCACCCTCATCTGTCCTGACAAAAGTTAATACACTGGATTCTGATTACCTAATCAAGTCTATTCTTTCTGTCACAGGAATGAACCGTATTCCTCTCCAACCCTGTTTCTTTGAAATTTGATTTATATAATACTAGCTTGGTACAAATTTGTTTTCAAGGAAACGTTATGCCACCCGGATTAGGTTTTTTTATCCACACAGTTAGAAAACCAGGATTTTCTGCTGGTTGCCTGCACGCCTGTGGTGATGAATCTAAGACAAGCCCCAACACACACACACACACACACACACACACAAGCATAAGAGGTGGTAGATTTCATTACATTCGGACAGTGGCAGGCTAGCTGTTTCCCCCTGTTTCCAGTCTTTATGCTAAGCTAAGCTAAGCTAACCTGGCTGTAGCCTTATATTGAATGGACAGATGTGTGAGTGCCATTGATCTTCTCATCTAACTTGGGGAGTAAGGGTATTCTCAAAATGTTGAAGTATGTCCTTTAAAGGACCAGTGTGTAGAGTTTAGCAGCTTGCATCAGTATTTGACAACCTGGAAATGAGAACTGGCTGTTAAGTGTGTAGGAGAAACTCTGGTGGCCGTGAAACTCACAAAAAATGCGAAGGCCCTGTCTACAGCCAGTGTTTGGTTTGTCTATTTTGGGCAACTGTAGAAACAAAAAAGGTTGGAGGTTCAACATGGCAGACTCCGTGGAAGGTAACTCACAGCATCTGTTGATGAAAACTGCTTTTTCTTAGGTAACGAAAACACAACAATTCCTATATTCAGGTGATTAAAACATACTTATGAATATGATATTCCATTTCTGCCAATAGATCCTCCTAAATGTTATACACTGGAGCTTTAATAAACAAATCTTTCTTGGAGACAACATTGTCTTATTTGTTTGTTGTTTTTTTAATAAAACCAACCTGACCAGAGCTGTATTGCAGGTGTGCATTAAGAGTTTACGTAGCTGTGGTCAAAAACCTGGCTTGTCACCATGGCCTTCTGTGGCACTGGAATCATATGAGAGCATACGGTCATCCGTTCATTACCACCTATAATTAGAACACATCTGTAACACATTTCCACATGCACACATACTCGTAGTAAACCCAGCATATTGATCAGTCTCATCGTTACTGGAGCATTTACGCAGTGATGTCACAGGAACTGTGTTCACTTAGACCTCCACTGTTATCTATCTTATGTAACCACAATGATACAATCCATCCATCCCAAATTCTGTCGTGCTCTTAAAAGGATTTTTTGGTGAACTCTGCACTGCTCAATCTTCAAATTTAATCCTTCCTGATAGAGGTTATGCAGGCTGCAAAAAAGTGTTCAGCGGATGCAAAGAAGAACCTTAATCCCATTTTATATTTTTTTAAATTATGCAATATATTCCTTAGAAGAGATGAACTGAACTGCAATGACCTATCCACCAAAAAACTCTGCTCTAACTTCTCATCCCACACAAGGGTGTACTGTCGAGCATGTAGTGCAGCTGGGAAAACACGTACGTACATAAACATACACACGCACACACACACACACACACACACACACACACACACACACACACACACACACACACACACACACAAGTCTCCAGATTACCCAATGAACACACACCTCAGTTGGCCCGAGAGCTGTAGCACTCCTTGGTACCGGATTACATGTTATTGCAAAACAAACCTGAGTTCAGTGTCCCCTGATAGAAGAAGGATGCAGTGCAGTCAACCTGCAACAACAGCCATGTGTTTTTCCACTTCCCTTCCTATCACACCACACCGTGGGAGTGCAGGTTAATGATTTATACTTTACACAGGCCAATTGGTAGACTGTCACTGACCTGCTTGTCGTGTGACTGGAAAATCCCATTTTCAAAACCATGCTATATAGTCACTGGTGAGGATGCCATATTGGCTTTCAAACCCTGGCATGTCTTGCAAGGATTCGTCACAGATAAGGACCCTCTGGATTTTTGCGGCAGGTGGCCGGTGATGTCAGCCCAAAGATGTGTAGATGGCCAATCCAAGCAGAGAGCTGTGAAACCCTTTTATCCAATAATTTGGAGGGGTGGGCAGATCGCAGTGACAGCTTGGCTTGGTCAGGCCAAGATTGGCCAGACAGGGCCCCCATTAGACCTGCCACTCTACTGATAGAACTGAACATTGTGTGCTTTTCTCCTGGTCTAGTGCTGCATCGATCCGCAGTGACAGACACACAGAGCCAATGCAGGGAGGCTAAGGAAGCGGGGCAATGAGAGCAGCTGCAGTGCTATTCACCGACTGCTGCCACATTCAAAAAACAGGCCCGATCCCAAGCTGGTAATCTTAATACTGTTGGCTGGCTGTGCAGCACCATCCACTCTGTAGTCCTCCTGAGTTCAGCTGATGGGAAACTGAGGAGGGATGGAGGCCAACACGCTGAGCAATTTGTGTGAGTTTCAGGTTCAGCTGTGATCAGTCTGTGATTAATGGAGAGTGCTGCTGTTCAGCACCTCTGACACACACTCAGAGAGAAGAGGCCAATCAATCCTATATGTGCCACTGGTGTGACCCAATGCAAGAAGAGAGGCTTGATGCTGCGGCTGTTTGGTATTGAGAGACGGAGTTCTGCTGAAAGTCAGCAAATGGAAATGTCTGAGAGGAGAGATAACAGGAAGGTTATTTAATTGTTAATTAAGTCACAGGTGGGAACAGCATCATGACCTCGCCTTGTATTAATATACACAAGCACAGACAGATACACTCTCTTACACACGCAAAAAAAAAAACACCAGTGTTTACATGCAAACTTACAATTAGTCATTCACTGACATAACACACATAGATAATTAACAGGGAGAACATCTGACCAACAACATTCACAAAACAGACTGAGGGAGACAAAAGCAGGAGTTATGAAACATGTTCAGACAGCAGAATGCTGATAATGATGACACAGGATGTCCTCGATCTTATTTGAAACCCAAATATTATGAGAAATAAGACCTTGTAGACAGTAAAAAGAGAGTGATAGGACTACTACTGTGGTAATATTACCACACATCTAGATAGCAGATATCATACACAGCATTTTAAATTGCAGCTCTGTGATATCTATCAATCTATCTCTCACTCTCTCCACTATAATGCTGTGGACGGTGTTGGTGTAATTATCAGTTTTATGGTCTCTTTCAGACATTGAACAGTGAGCTTCTTCAGGATTTGTGGCAGGAATACAGGGCAACTTCTGACCTTGTTTTTTTTTTTTTATCTTTATGGTTTTATTGCCGTAAGAACAAAAATTTCCATTCAAGTGTGACATCAAACATTTTCGGAAATGACTGACCAAAAACTATAAGATTTGTTGTTCAAATGAACCTTGGTTCAGATTTGTTATCTATTAAGACATTTAGGTAGTTCAGGTTTTTTTCAATCCTTTACAAGAGGGCAAAGTCCTGCTTGAGAAAATGGAAGTTTTTTTTCCTCTTAATACCTGTCCTTGAGAAGACTGTGTGTAAGGTTTACCACAATGTGTAATTGTAGGTAACATTTAAAGACTAGTTAACTGCAAGCAACATACCGTAAGGTTATTATTTCAGTTGTCTAAATGTGTGCCAAGCTTCTCTGGACTAACTGAGTTGATTGAATATCTAAATTTACACCCGATTAATTCATTGTTACGCCATCCAAAAACACCCTGCCAAGATCTAAAAAAAACAGGCCTGGACAGTGAGTTTGACAACATGTTTGTTATCTGAACCTGTTTCAGTAGTTTTTAAATGTGTACAAAAAAGTTTCTGTTAGTCCTGTTAAAAACCTCCAGATTCCAAAGCGTCTGATCCTCTTACATCACCACCAAACACCCAGTTTTATCTCTGACCCCATACAAACAAATTCAATCACATCAAACACACGACACACACAATACACACAATATCCCTGCCAGATCACTAAATAATTTCACTGCAGAACATCCAGAGAATTGTCTGTTTTATTTTTTGTCTGATGGCAAAGAACAGGCAAAACAGGTTATATCACATCATAGACATAGACATCATAGTCACATCATGGCTTATACCCCAAACACACACGCACAGAGAGAGCCCTGTAGGTCTTAGGATGTGCCACTCGCAGATGGTGAGAGGAAGGCAAAGCAAAGGCAGATGGTCCTCTCCTCTCCTCTCCTCTCCTCTCCTCTCCTCTCCTCTCCTCCCTCTCCTCTCCCGTCCTCTGGAGGAAGACTTGATGCTGCTCTAATATCTTTGCATTAATGTGTACAACTGATAGGCCTGTAAACATTGCGCACTATCCACAGAAACGCTGTCTGTCAGCCTAAAGAGAGAAAAAAAGGCTAATTCCAGGCCAGTAGCGGTGGCACTGTTGTGCATTACATAACAATATTGTCACGCCCCACTAACACTCAACCCTTGGAATAAATCATTCAAATAGCTGAATGTGATCCCATCTCTCCTGCACACAGACATATTAGCCATGCAGGAGTGTGTGCAGATTTTGTTTCTTTATACACTAATCATGGCCTTACCTTTGAGCAGTGGTACGTGGACATTCTCGGTGGTGACGCAGGAAGAGAGGAAGATCCTGGAAGAGAAAGTTACATGAGACAGCCTGTTCACTCTGAGTTAATGGTTACAATGAAGAGGCCTTCTGGAAAATTTCAGGCAAAGACCAGAGAGGTTTAGGAATGAATCAACTGTACATTTTTAGGAGTAGGCAGAAAGACTATCTTGGCATTTCAAGATAATTCTGTTATCACCTGTTCTGTAGATCAAACCGCAGAAGGATGTCGTTATGTAAACATGTTAGCCCCCTGCACTGGAGACACAATCACTGTGGGGAAAGTGTGCCAACACTTTCTCTGTGTAGGCCTCTTTCACAACACTGTGAAATGCCTGAGTTGCGTGATATCTGATGTGAACAGGGTGTCCATGGATAACGCAGCTCCTAAGGGTCAAATGGCCACTGATATTAACAGGGGTGCAAGAATTCATGCCCTGTCTTGATCCATTCTGCACCTTGGCTTCAGGTTAAGTAAGACAGCTTTATAACAGCAGAGACTACATGGAAAACAGCAGAAGCATCAGAGATTGGTCAGTCCGACTGCCATATTGCTTCTGCAAGTTGTGTTATATAATTGTCTCTTACGGTACTCATTCAGGGTAATCAGTGATTAAGTAATTCATGGTGATCATCAACGAGTCTAGAATTGCCCATTCAGGCTAACCTTTGCGTGTAAGTTACAGTCGATTCGTACAGTGGCAAAACACAAACACACAGATTTATACTGCAGGCAAAAATAAGAAAGCAGTCAGGGGGAAAGAAGAAAAATATAGGCAAACACAAAACCCACAGCTTTGCCCTCATTTCTTCATACGTCCATTCAGATATTTTGATAACACACAGTTGGTCCAGACCCTGCAGCAGTCTGGTTTAAATATCAAACAAACACAAGCACACATTTCCTTATGGTCCAAACAGACCAGTCTACTGAGAAACCAGCAACCTGCCTTATAACAAGCAGATCAAGACGGAGAAAGGAGTCCTGCCAGCAGGACCAGTCTCGCAGGCAGAGAGTGGCAGACACCATGTGAGAAGAGGGAGATGTAAGACAGCAGATATGGATTTCAGGATGGAAAGATTAGTGCATTTCTGGGGCAGGAGGAAAACAGACAGCCATCGTTCTCCAGAGAGCTCTGCACCGACTCTTCTCTGGAATTTGTTGAATCAAAACTTCATAAACCCCCCACTGATACAGACCATTACAGTGAGCAATAAAACACAAAAGCTCCCCTTCAGAGGATGAACAGCAAACACATAAAAGTGCCTTCTTGTACTGACATATATTGTATGTTCTGTTCTTTGCAAAACATTGATCTGACGCCTGTCAAGAGCTTATGAAAATACATGAACAACAATACAGTATCTGTGTGTGTTGTATTGTGACAAGCCCTTCCTTGTTTATAAATATAAGCGTGTATTTTTCATTTAACTCAAATGTGTTTTCTAATCCCAAAAAATGCAGAACATTCACAACCCATTAGGATTTAATCTTTTGATTTAAGCCGACAGATAAAACTCATGAATGACCAAAACTGGATTTGCAAAGGTCTCACCCAGACGCAGGAACATATTTCAGTCCAGGCTACAAAGGATTAGTTCTTTTTCTGCTTAGACTGGATCAAAACATGAAGAAATAAAATGTATGAGTGAGGGGGAAAAAAATAGAAAGAAGAGTAAGAAAGTAGCAGTGAAAGTGAGACAGAGAGAAGTGGTGGCAGTGGACTCTACTGGTAGTTGGTCTGACACACTGACAGGCCATGCCATGCACAGAGCAGTCTCCTCCCCTCTCCAGCCTGGCCTATATTAACTCTCCATGGAGCTCCACCTCACAACCAGAGACACATGGAGTAGGATAACACACTGCTAAAGCTCTGAGAATACATTCACATACCCACACATATACAGGGAGATACTGGACTGTGCTTGAACCGCTCCGCCTATCTGCCTGTAGAACTAGCAGTGCTGGATATACAGTATAAATTCTCCTGGATGGACTATTAACTTTTGTACCATGTTGCTCCAGTCATCTCAGGAGAATTTCAGCCTTGGTAAGTGGCAAGAAGATTTCATTACCTGCAAAGTAAACAAGTATGAAAGGGGACCTGTTAGTGATGTTGAGGATAAGTCTGTTTCTGCCTAGAATTTAGGCAAAATAATTAAACAAGGAAAACAAGTGAAACATAAACAACAGGTGATACGTTTTCCTTTTATAGTGAGTTAAAGGATTGTAAAGCAGGAATGGGGCTGAGACACACTCAGATTCTTTGTATAGGTCAAAGTGTCTGTGTGCTTGTGTGTAAGAGTCATACCACTTTCACCAGCAGATGAACATAGGTACACAGTGTGTGCACATTCGTCACACAAGGGGATACTCTGTGCTCAACAAACAAGACCCCTGCTGGATTGCAACAGTACAGTGTTTGTTTTGTAGCATGGAACATTACAGTAATACAGTCACTAGTTGTGATAGATAACTGTGTAATCTCAATTAAATTACAAAGTAAAATGTGTTGGGTTAAAATTAAAACTATTTGTCTCATAATGCAAGGGAGGCCTTCAGCAGAGGCTGTAATGACACTGGTAGAGACATGTTGTAAGACACAAATAACAAAGAGGAAGATTTTTTTTCTCCAAAACGTTTAAAATGTGACAGAATTATTTAATTACTCAGACAGATAGGGAGAGATACAGTATGCAGCTTTACTTTCTGACCTCCATTCATTCATGTAGGCTACAGCGGAGGGCAAAGAGTATACTGGGGCAAGCAGGTGCCAATTCCTTATCTACAAATCTGATTTTTAATTATTAATGTAGAAGAAATCAGTGAGTCTTGTGAAAGCGACCCAGAGGCCAGTCTCTCTCTCTGCTGGCAGTGCATCCCTCAACAGGAGGACATGGGTTCAAAATGTCTCATCAGAAAACTGAATCTGTACTGAAGTGCCCCAGAGCAAAGACAATTAAACTGCACTATACCCTGACCTCTGACCTTCGAGTAGAGGAGGGGAATCAAAACATTGATCAATAAAGTAGCATTTTTAGCATTATTTACTAAATGTAAATGTAAACTTACAATGAATGAATTAATGAAAATAGAAACACTTCTTTAAGTAGTTTCTTTCATTCCCTTCATTCTTCATTATTATAATTATTGAGTATTAATAGCCTACAATATACTACAGTATATCACAGCAAAAATGACATAAAGCCTCTAAACTGCATTATAGACATCTCTCTTTTCTCTATAGCTTTAAAATGTAATACTATGAAATATTATAATTGTACATTAGGCTATTACATAACTTAATTCTGATGGATGGGATAAAAATATCTTCTTCAATATCAACTTAAAAATAAGACTATAGCAGATCTTTCCTTAACATTCCTCTCTCCTTCTCCGACTAATAACCGAGACAGTAGCTCTCCAAGTCTGTCGCATCCCGTCCAGTCCGCATGCAGGTCCTGCTCTCCATCGCAGAGCCCATCCCGGCCTGTGAGAGGCATCTGCATTCTCGGGCACATGGGTTCTCACATGGTCTGCCTGCAGATGCTGATGTAGACTGCTGCGGCTGTGATGCTGCTGCCTGCCCGCCCATCCATCCCTTCATTCATTCACAGCGTCCACGCAGACAGAGAGGACCATACGAGCCGCAGTCTGAATGAGGGGATCGAAACACAGGAAACATTGAGCATCTTTAACCTCTTGACTTTGTTTTTCCCGGGATGTTTAAGCCTCATGGAGATGAGCTCTGAGTGCGGACGCGCTATAAGAGAAAACACCCTGAGCATCTCGATGCCAGATGGACTTTCTAAATCCGCAAACAGCCGCAGTGAGTGAACTGTCCGAGCGATGTTTCTCACTGACGCGACTAATGCCATTCTGCGTGCCATAATCTGAAAACAACCTTAATTCCCATCAAAGACAAAAACAAATAGGGAAAACAAATCGTAGACCAATGCGGAAAACAATAGCCTGCTTTCAAAGAGAAAAACAAATTAATAACTAGTCTACTGTAGGCTGTATGTAGGGGAAATAACGCATGGATGGAAACACTGAAGAGAGACCAGACTATAGCCTGTGAAGAGGCTGGAGACCATTGGCAGGCCTAGATAGGCCCAAATTGTCTGTTGGCTTGACTCAATTTTGGAAGAATATGAAATACTACTGCACAGCAAATAGAAAGAAGAAAACATAACCACTGACATGTCTTGCTAATTCAGGTAAGATAAGCACCTGTCATGGCGCCTGCGTGGTCTGCAGCATTTTGTGAAGCCTAACCACCAGTTTTTGGGTTGTTGTTTTTTTCCATTTCCTTGCATCGGAAATAAAATAGGATACACAATGTTCTTTTCCCCCCATCCTTTATCATAGATCATTGTGTTTATATTTTAGGAGGCAGCTAAATACAACCAGTGACAGAAGAGGAAAAAAAGTCAAAATCTTTTTATAATGTTTGTTTCTGCTGTAGGTGCCAATTATAAACAGGCTTAACTATTGTAACCGTGGCTGAACTTTGTTTTAAAGGTGCTATGTGGCTACACATAAAGATTTATAGCATTGTTGTGTACTGCAAGCATTACTGCCTTTTGTACTATGCTGTTATCATTTTCATCCATAAACCTGTAAATATTAAGCTGGATTTTTGAATCTACCGCTGTCACGTGATTTCCAACTTTGAACACATGTTTTGAATGACTCCTGCTGCTTTCACGTACTGCTGGAAACTCCAAGATGTATAAAGACCAACTTACAGTTAAGATATTATAACCTGTAATATCTGATATGCTTAAGTATGTAAGTTACAAGTTAGTACCAAAAAGTAGTTTCTTTTCTGGTATTTGTTTTATTTATTGGTAAATTTTTTCTTTACATAGCACAAGGATCCAATCCATGCAATAAATATAGCCTACCGAATATTTGTATTACATTTTTATTAGCCTACATTATTAAGAATATTTAACAAAAAGAGAGGGGATTTAATGTTTCTGGGATCATAAAAAAAACGTACATAAAAAGATAATGTCCAAATAACATAGCAGTAAAAATGCTGGTTAATGAACCCAGTGAACCTGAGAGTGATTATTTGTAGCTGTAACTTGTCATTTATAGTTAAAATCATAATAGCGAGTTAATAATAAATAAATACACAAATAACGAGCTAACAACAACAACAACAACAATAATAATAATACTAGTCTCTGGATGTTGGGATATTTCCGACAGTCAGTAAAGGCAGCGTCGTGACGTCAGCGTTGCCTTTCATAGCTGTGCCCAGCACTAAATGGCGATTGCAACAGAGCCGCAGAAAGCAGCAGCGGAGCGCAGTCAAACCTCGTCTAGGGTTTGATTAGAGCTATAACGAACCTAATGCAACGAACAAGGCCTGTGAGTAACCCCGTATGCCTCTACGGTTGTCAGCGTTACCATCAAATGTCATTTTCACT